ACATGCATGGAGCCTCGAGTTCACTTACTGTCTTAACTGTGGTGGGGAGGTCATGGCGGAGCGACAGGACTTTATCTGCAAAATAGCTCTCAAAGGCCTCACAGCCAGTGTCCCATTTGGTATGCCTTGTGGCAGAACAGTCATAGACTGAATTATTCTAAATAATTGGGCTGGGCATGAGCTCGCAGACGCAATCGTGGCCGCATAATACTCTGACTGCCATCTCATAGGATCTCATAAATGTCCTATAAGATGTTCTTGTGGCTTCGTCGTAGGCGCACTGCTATTGTCTCTCTAGCTGTCTTAGCCCTCGCTTCATCAGCCGCAACTCCTGGGTAAACCAAGGAGCCAGCCTAGAGTGAGGGCGCAGAGGGTGTCGGGGAGTGATCTCATTGATGGCTGCTAAGAGTCAGCTGTGCCAATCCTCCACAAGCTCATCAGATCCCGCAGGGCCATTTGAAGCCACATAGGGGCCATTTGGCTCCATGGGCAAGCTGAAATCTGCTCGCCACCCAAAGAGGGTTGGGGTGAAACATTCAGATGGGTCTTCAGGGCATGATGGTCCGACCATGGCACTGCTGAGGCAGTGACTCGGTCCACTGTGACCCCTGCCACAAAGATCAGATCGAGCGTGTGTCCTGGTGAGTGGGAGTCGTTACATATTGGGAGAGTCCCAGCGCCACCACGGATGGCACTAGGTCCATCGCCCGAGTGCAGGCCACATCGTCCGCATGGACACTGAAATCACGCAGGACAGTCGGTCTCGGGTGTTCCAATGCCCAGCCTGACACGGCCTCCACCAGGGATGGCAGGCTGCTGGCCGGTTCTTTTTTCAGAAAAAAACCAAAGATAAAGTACAAGCAAAGACAAGTCTTACCTTACAGTAATTATGTTTTGTTATCATAATTATTACTTTATGTTTGGTTTTTAATATGTTTTTGCTGTCTTATTATCTGCAGTATGTGATTATTTTTAAAAGGGATTTTTTTTGCCTTAAATTTTGTACAGTAATGAATACATTGTCCTCTATTCTTTTAAAAAATTAATAAAAAGGTGTGCAATCCTTTTATATGGGTCACCTCTAACTATGGGGCTGGCTATGGGGATGGTGGAGGCCAGATAATAATCATTTTTAATGAAGTCCTAGTTTTACATTTAAAACGCTAGCTTATCAGTAGGCTGACATTAAATTGTTCAGTAATTTGTCAGTATTTGGTCAGTTTTTTTGGAATTTTGGTCAGTAAAATCAGTATTTTTGACCCTCTGACTAGTTTCCACCACTGAGTTGTCTAAAATTTGGCTAGATGAAACTCCCGCCCAGTGTAGATTCTCTGAGACAAATCTCAGATAGGTGGGATAAAATGCTTGGATTCCATGAGAAATAGAATTTTGAGATATTATATAGAACACTGTCTAACCAACATGGCTTAATTTCTTATACTGAAACTTGAGCCCCTCAACCCCACAACACCCCTCTTTCCAACAAAAGTGCTGTGGGAGTATTGCTCTATTTATGTATTTATTTATTTGTTTGCCGTTAAGTTACAGCCAACTTATGGCAACTCCATGTCGGGTTTTCAAGGCCAGAGACAAAGAGGTGGCTTGCCATTGCCTGCCTCCAAGTAGCAACCTTGGATTTCCTTGGTGGTCTCCCATCCAAGTACTAACCAGGGCCAACCCGCGCTTAGCTTCCAAGATCTATTTGCCCAGGTTAGGGCATTGCTCTATGGCATGGCAAAATATCAGGATTAGAGCACTGATCTCCAAGCCCAGCTTTTTCAGTGCTATGGGGCAAAGTTCCCATTGTGCCTTTTATTGAAGTCCTGGAGGTAGAAAAGGCACAAGTTCCTTACCTACCTCCTAAACTTCAGCAATGGCCATGTCGACAGATTGCTCCTCAGTACAACAGTGCTTAGAACTGAGACAGTTGGGAAGACAGCTGTCAGGCCTTGAAACAAATGTAAAGGACATTTCCACATGCTACTGCTAGTTTGGTGTCGTGGTTAAGAGTGGCGGACTCTAATCTGGGGAACTGGGGTTGATTCCCCTCCTCCACATGCAGCCAGCTGGGTGACCTTGAGTCAGTCACGGCTCTCTCAGAGCTGTTCTCTCAAGAGCAGTTCTTGAGAGCGCTCTCTCAGCCCCACCGACCTCACGGGGTGTCTGTTGTGGGGAGAAGAAGGGAAGGAGATTGTAAGCCATTCTGAGATTCTGAGTGAAGGGTGGGGTATAAGGCCAACCTCCTCCTCCTCCTCTTCTTCTTCTTCTTCTTCTTCTTCATCAGAGAAATTTAAGCAGCTTCTTCCCAACCAGCCCTCACCATTCCTTGCCACTCTGAACATCTCGGTCCAGAATGGCCCATACACAGCATTGCAGCCCCTTAGTCATGTATTTGGGTCAGCCAGGTCCCAAAGCCTCCAGCAGTACTGGGAGTAGAAGTGAGACATGGAAGGCTTGCACGTCAAATGCTGGTCATCTGTCTGTCGAAAACTGATCCACTTGCAGAGAGAGCCATCTGTGAATACCTGAGCAAGATGTGGCCCAGATATTCAGCTGGACGTGAGCCCAGGAGCACCCGAGAGACCAACGAGATCTTCAGGATATGAGCTTTCGGGAGTCAGTCCCTGAAGACCTGGTCTCAGGTGCTCCTGGGCTCACGTCCAGCTGATCTACTGCAGAGCCACACAGCAGCCCCCTCTGGAACCACGGACAGACAGACAGACACTTTTCATATAATCACAATAGATTCCATTCTGGCTAGTTAGTAAAAGCAGTAATTTCAGCCACAACTTAGAATGGTTCAGATATCAGCAGCCTTATTCGATCCCTTTTTAATGACTGTCATAAGAAGTACTTCCTTTTATCCGTTCTAACCCGACTGCTCAGCAATTTCATGGAGTGCCCACGAGTTCTTGTGTTGTGAGAAAGGGAGAAAAGTACCTCTTTCTCTGCCTGCTCTTTCCCATGCATAATCTTATAAACCTCGATCATGTCACCCCTCAGCCGTCGTTTCTCCAAGCTAAAGAGCCCCAAGCATTTTAACCTGTCTTCAGAGGGAAAGTGTTCCAACCCTTTTATCATTCGAGTTGCCCTTTTCTGCACTTTTCCCAAAGCTATAATATCCTTTTTAAGGTGTGGTGACCAGAACTGCACACAGTATTCCAAATGAGGTCGCACCATTGATTTATATAGGGGCATTATGATATTGGCTGATCTGTTTTCAATACCCTTCCTAATAATCCCCAGCATAGCATTGGCCTTCTTTATTGCATTCACACACTGTCTCGACATTTTCAGTGAGTTATCTACTACAACTCCAAGATCTCTCTCTTGATCAGTCTCTGCCAGTTCAGACCCCATCAACGTGTATTTATATTTAGGATTTTTGGCTCCAATGTGCATCACCTTGCACTTGGCCACATTGAACCCCATTTGCCATGTTGACGCCCACTTGCCCATCTTTGACAGATCCCTTTGGAGTGTCATTCTGAAGTGGGGAACTTGTGGGGAAAACCTGATGGGTTCTAGCCATAAATGTCCTTCGATAACATCAGGGCTCATTATAATCTATGCTAAGAAATAGATAAAATACTTAAGTTTTGTTTCAAGAAGCAATGGCATTCTGCAACCTGAATATGAAATTATGGAAATTTGCATGAATTTTGTTGGTGTCCTAGAAATGCTTGTCAAAACCATTTCTCTTAATCGTGGATGCTTTGTAATTACAAATACCAAGAAAAAGTTCAAAGATAGGTTGTTCTCAGTGATACTATCAGAGCTTGATTTTTGGGTGAAAGTTCAGGTAGCCATAGCCCCCCTCCCCCCCCCTCGGCCAGCAGACCCCGGCTGCAGCTAGAGATAGGCAAGTTCTGCCCAGATCATCCTGCTGTTCTTCCACTTCCTTCTTCCCCTAGTATATTCTGGGAGTTGTAGTTCTCAGAACGCCTTACAGCAGTGAGGGGAGGAGACCCAAAAGTATAACGTCCAGCATCTAATATGGCACTGCTAATTCCTCTTTTGGGGTTATAGTGGTTATGTAAACACTAGGAAAAAGGCCCGTTGTGGAAATAAATACAACGATCTCTAGAAAGAGGCTCTGGGCGGATGCCCCGGTCTTGGACACTCAGTGTCAATTTGCTGTGGCGACCTCAGCAGGGTATAATGACACTGAGTCCACCATTTTCTCCAGAGGAACTGATCTCTGCTACCTAAAGAACAGTTGTAATTTTGAGTGATCTCCAGCCCTCACCTGGAGATTGGCAATGATGATTCCCCAGAAGGGAATGGTTGGTTTGGAGTGTGGAGTCTATGGCTGTTTACCTGTCCGAGGTCCCACGCCTCCTGAAACCTCACCCTCTCCAGACTCCATCCCTCACATGTCCAGGAATTTCTCACCTGGAGTTGGCAACCCTATCTCCTTCCCAGCCAATCATCAACCTACCTTTATTTCCCCCTCACTCTTCAGCTTTCCACCCCCCACACACCTGCAGCCTCTCCCGTGCTCTAAAGCCCTGACTGCTACGTCACATTGGCTGTCATATGGGGGCCACCTCAGCAGCATATAAGGATACAGAGCCCACCATTTTCTCCAGGGGAACTGATCTCTGCTATCTGGAAAGCAGTTGTGATTCTGAGTGATCTCCAGCCCTCACCTGGAGATTGGACACATTTTACCTCAGAACAGCAAAACTGTTTAGAATGTTAGAGGCAAAAGCCAATCAAGTTGCATATGCAAACGACCTCTGTGTTCCGAGGCAGAGGCCAATGAGGCTTCATATGCAAATAACCTCTGTGTTCTGACTTGCTGTGGGGGGGGGGAAGAGCAAAATGTTTAGAATGTTGGAGGCAGGACTCAGGCAAAGCAGCCAGTGGATAGGGAGACCCTCTGAATGACAGATCAGAGAGCGAACTGATTTTGGAGCGTGTGGAATGTTCTAGAGAAGTGCCACCACCATTCGGCTTTTATTTATAAGGGAGATGAGCCCAGTCAGTAATACACGTTAAGTCATTGCAGTATAACCAAATACCCTTTTGTTTCTAGGTGAAAAGTTTAGAGAGCTAATGGATAAGTGGCTGAGGGTTAACTTCAGTAAAGGCTGCCCACCCTTGTTTACCACTTTGAAATCTTTGTATTACAATACAGAAAAGGTAATTATTTAATTTTTGTATAGTCTGTGTATATTTTTGCATGTATCTTATAAATAATTTGAGGTTTGTCTTCCACATGTGCTGAGGAATGTTTATCAGTCGTTGCTCTGCTTGTTCTGGTTGCAGTGTAAAGTATACCAGATGGCTTTAACAAGGAGAAGTGGAGGTATTTAGGCTCTAATGCGAAGGGAGTTTTGACTCTCGAAAGCTTACACCCTGAAAACCACTCTTTGGAAGCCAGCATCTGTGGTTTCAGTGCAGTCCCAAGTACTGAGCCTGCACAAAAGCAACTTCAGAGTACTCCATAGCCATAACCAGTTTTCTTGGAAGTGCAGCATTAGCAGCCACTCCAAACATTTTCTGTTCAGATTTTTTTTTCTTCCCTTGTTTTTCCTAGCTGGTTGTTTTCGTGCGAAATTGCCCTCATTTTCCTTTAAAGGTGGCTCAGTGTGCCTTAGCCACACAACTCTGGAAAAAGGGTGGGAAGGGGGAATACCACTTTTCTCAGCTTGCCCGCACAGAGAGCACACCTTTAAGTATTGCTATGCTGGGGGGAGGGAGTGACTGCTGGATAGTACCTCTGCTGGGTACTGCTGAGTACCAGACCACCTCACATCTCTCTTGAGAAACCTGTATAAGGGTCAAGAAGCGACAGTTAGAACCGGATATGGAACAACTGATTGGTTTCGCATAGGAAAAGGAGTACGACAAGGATGTATATTGTCACCTTGCTTATTTAATATATATGCAGAGTACATCATGCGAAATGCTGGCCTGGATGAATCACAAGCGGGAATTAAGATTGCTGGGGAAAAGATCAACAACCTCAGATATGCAGACGATACCACTCTAATGGCAGAAAGTGAAGAGGACCTAAAGAGCCTCTTGCTCAGAGTAAAAGAGGAGAGCGCAAAAGTGGGCTTGAAGCTCAACATCAAAAAAACTAAGATCATGGCATCCGGCCCCATCACTCCTTGGCAAATAGAAGGGGAAGTCGTGAAAGTAGTGACAGACTTCATGTTCCTGGGATCCCAGATCACCGCAGACTGTGACAGCAGCCATGAAATTAAAAGACGCCTGCTCCTTGGGAGGAAAGCGATGGCGAACCTAAACAGCATGATAAAAAGTAGAGACATCACCCTGCCAACAAAAGTCCGCATGGTCAAAGCAATGGTATTCCCAGTAGTCATGTATGGCTGCGAGAGTTGGACTATAAGGAAGGCCGAGCGCCGAAGAATAGATTCTTTTGAACTATGGTGCTGGAGAAGACTCTTGAGAGTCCCTTGGACTGCAAGAAGATCAAATCAGTCAATCCTAAAAGAAATCAACCCTGACTGTTCCCTGGAAGGCCAGATAATGAAACTGAAGCTCAAATACTTTGGCCACCAAATGAGAAGGGAGCACTCACTGGAGAAGACCCTGATGCTGGGAAAGACTGAAGGTCAAAGAAGACAGGGACAGCAGTGGATGATATGGTTAGACACTGTCATAGATGCAACAAACATGAAATTGAGCAAACTTCAGAGGACGGCGGAAGACAGGAAGGCCTGGCGGGATCTGGTCCATGGGGTCGCGGAGAGTCGGACTCGACTGTGCGGCTGAACAACAACAACAACAAAACCTCTGCTGGGTATGTTTAGGGGAAACATGCAAAACCAACTCTTGTCCTCCCTGTTGGAAATTTACTAGGCAGGCTCATTTTTTCTCTGGGCTGTACTTTGGGAGACCAACCTGTCTCTTCAACTTAGATCCCAGGTTTCCAACTACAAACTCTCTTGATTCCATTGGGATTTAGCATTGCCTGTATTGCTTGGCTCCATCACCAACTGAAAGGGAGACTGCAACCGAGTCATCAGAAGGAGACTGAGACTTGAAAGGGCAACCATGAAGGAACTAGAGAAGAACCTTAAGTGTAAGGGTGTCACTGGTGACCAAGATCAAGATAATTCATCCCATGGGATTCCCTGTTGCTGTGTTTGGTTGTGAAAGTTGGACAGTGAAGAAAGCGGACAGGAGGAATGTGGTGTTGGAGGAAGAGTTTTATGGGTACCCTGGACTGCCAAAAAGACAAAGAAGTGGGTTCTGGATCAAATCAAGCCTGAATTCTCTCCGGAAGCTAAAATGACCAAACTAAGGCTATCGTAATTTGGTCACATCAGGAGAAGACAAGACTCACTGGGAAAGACAAGAATGCCGGGAGAAGCTGGAGGCAGCAGGAAATGGATGGACCCACGAGGTCCTCCGTTTGCAATACTGAGCAATACTGTCAATGATAGGGCTTTGGGGAGGTCCTTAATTCATAGGGTTGCCACAAGTCGGAAGCAACTTGACAGAACTTGACTTAACATACACTTTCTCACTCGCTTCCATGCCTCCACTTTGTATCTTTGTGATTGCCTTTTTGGCAGTATAAGGAATCCAGAAGTGAACCTGGCAAATGCAAATGAAAGAGAAACAAACAAACAAACACTAATGCTGATTGTTCCTCTGGAGGTCATGAACGTTCTGTTGTCAAAGCAGGGCTCGGTCCCTGTGTGTACAGCAGACTCTATGGCCACTCTTCCTTCAGCTGTTGGTTACTCGCCTGACGGAGACTTGGGATAGGATTCTTTCAGAATAGGTAGTATCTTACCTGATCTGAGGTCTGGATTCTATCTCTTCTTCAGGTAACATGCTTTATATATCTTTAAATCCAGAGGAACTAATACATTGTTGCAAAAGACTATTATAATGTGGTTGGCAAGGAGTATGCCCTTTAGCTACAACCCATGGCACCATTAATCTGCCTACTCCTCCCTGGAAAGACATTCTGTGAGGCCATGAAACCAGGACCTGTCATCCGTACAGAAAAAAATGATGTGACTTAATTATCACCTTTTCTGGGCAAAGTGATGGAGTAGCAGACCAGCTCCAGGCCTACTTATCGAAATGTCTCCCGCAGGACCACACGGCTACCCTTCTCAATGTCATTGGTGCCAACGTGAACCACATGACCTCTGATTCCTGCCCTGCACTAGCTGTCAGCTGAACTAGACTGTCTGTGATGCCTCTAGCCTTTGCACCAGGCATGCAAGTCATTATGTGGTGAAGATGCCCCGAACAGATCCCTGTCAGTATTCCTAATGATCAGATATCCCACTACCTAGGGTCTACTTTCTCTCAGTCCCAGAGAGTTCATAATCTGAGGAAAGGGTCTCTTTTGAGGGGTCATTTCACCCCTCCTCAGCCTGACGCCATCCTATTTCGAGACCCTCCGTCTACGTGACAGCAGAGGAGCTGTCATCATGAGAGAGGGACGGTTCTAGCAGGCCTCACCAGGATACCTTTCTATCACTCTCAGCTTCTCCAGGTGAGAGTTCTAGCCTCAAAGGAACAAAACTATTCCCTGAGAGCCAAGAACTCCATGCATCAAGCACATAACCACAAGTTCAGCAGGCAGATAATCGTATATGTGACACTTTCTGCAAAACACTGGATAGCCCCCCTCCCCGGTTTTCTACCTTCATGACTGCTTTTGTTGTTTAAAGCTATTAAGGTCACCTGAAAATACGCAGATTCCTGAACTGTGAAGGGTAATGTGTAATGCCCTGGCTTCCTTGCTCTTTTACTGAATTCACCTAGGAGCTGAACTTTTGAGCCCCTTTTTCAAGACTCCCTGTCACACTCACCTCCCACACAAAACTCCTAAGGTTCATGGTCTCAATAAGAGGATCAAAGAGGCATGGCCTTCGTCTACACTCAGAGGTAATCAAGTAAGGGTACCAGAGCTGTCTCTGCTCAATAGCCCAGCCTGAAGCCAAAGTGGTCTAGAGCAGGTGAATTGTCCAAAAAGACCTGGAGCTGGTCTGCTACTGCTCTCTCCATCACTTTGCCCAGATAGGTTATAACACTGCAGCAATCTAGCTAGCTCATTTGGAAGGAGCTGCTGCACTCATTCAGGTGCCAAGAGGAATTATTTCAACACACTTTTAGTGGGAAGAGCAAATGTCTCCGGCAGCTGGTATTGACAGTGTTGCAATTCTAACTTGATGTATTTTAATCCATTTGTTTAATTATGTTTTAATTGTGTGTATTTGTGTTTTGTAAGCTGCCTTGGCCATTGTGGAAAGGCGGGCTATAAATATTTTAAATCAATAAATAAAAATTAAAAGAAAAACTCTCCAGTAGTGTCTGGGAGGGGGTGAATAGTGGCTTCTGGTGCTGAGACAAGGAAGATTGACCTCACTGTGGCTGGGTGGTCCACAGATGGCAAGCACCTTTCCATCCGTACTGCCTCATAAAGCACTTTGTGCCCTTCCGAAAAAGAGTGGAGAACATCAAGTTTAGGAAGGAGCACGTCGAGCTCATGGAAAGGACGACTGGAGCATGACCTCACTGCAGTTTTGCATGGATGTTCCCCCACCGCCTCCCAAGTGTTGCCGTTTGGTAGCTGAAACAGAAAAAACCTCCGTGTGGATGCTGTTGATTCGATTTCTCTTTGGTGTTACTTTTAAGCCCATTATCTTTATAATGCTTCCTTAATGGAAGTGTAGGCTTGAAATCCATTTCATATAATGGGGGGGGGGAAACAATCAAAAGAGGCGTTTTATGCCTCACTACTTTTTGACCAGCTCTTTCCTCCCCTTCGAGTTAGACGATTCATGTTGTCTTTCACAACATAAGTCAGTGGGATGGATGCACTGAATGTGTGGCCATGATTGAAAGGAGGTACGTAAGCAGGTGAGAGAACGTGTGCCCAGAGAAACTTTTTCTCATGGTGCTAGTCTTAGAAGAGGCAAACTGCTCTGAAAACTGGACAGCAAATCTGCATTTGAGGAGGACTTAAGATAGGTATGGGCTTGTTGCCCGTAGGCAGATGTGCCTCCTTTTGCGTGGGTCTTTTAAGTGATGAGCAGCTGTTCTCGCGGGGGAAACCATGTTTGTCCTCTGCAGGGCTCAGGCTGCCTTCTGAAGCTGATCCGTGTACACAGCCACAGTAGTGCCGCTTTAAAGATAAAGGAGGGAAAAGCAGAGCCGGGCATACAGCGTTCTGGCTCTTGCCTTCTGTCAGCACCCCTGAGCAGGCTGAACGAGCTGCCCTCTGGCTTGTCTGCCTTCTAGGCTCGAGGGGGCAGCAGAAAGTGGGCAGGCGGCAGCAGCAGAGCACCTGAGCACAGGAGTGGGTGTCTGAAGCCACGTTATATTCTTCAGCTTCGGTAACACGATTGTGATCTGGTGTATGCCCGTACAAAGGGAGTCATTCTTCTCTCTCTCTCTCTCTCTCTCTCTCTCTCTCTCTCTCGCACACGCACACACACGCACACTTGGCAATTTGCATACAAGTGCTTATTAAATTGCAATGAAAAGTTGTGCAAGAGCTTGTTTCCATACTCTTAAGATCCAGAAGCGATTGGTTTTGTTAACAGATATTGATGTGAGGGCTGGCGTTACAGGTAGCAGCCAGGCAGAGCCCAGAATTGGGTAACCAGGTAGGGTTGCCAACTCTGAGTTGGTACCTCCCTGGAGATATGGGGGTGGGTCCTGGGGAGGGTGCTCAGGGGGTATAATGCCATAGAGTCCAGCCTTCAAAGTGTGTCCTCCCTCCAAAGCAGCCGTTCTTTCCAGAGGAATTGATCCCTGTCGTCTAGAGATCAGTTGTAATTCCAGGAGATCTCGAAGCCCCGCCTGGAGGTTGGCAACCCAGAACTGGGAGATGGGTCGGGGCTGCCCAAGGGTTGATGCCAAAAGAGTGGCCAACAAGGACTTTGGTCACCAGGACGCCTGGGATCAACTGTCCGACAAGCTGGAGCCAAGACTACGCGGAGTCATCGGCCAGGAGCGCTGAGGCCTCAGGGAAGCCCAGCAGGCCAGAGGGATGGGGGTGATCAGCACGCAGGACCAGCAGTAGGATGGAGGACCGAACAAGGATCCTGAGCCTTCCTTGGTGCTTTTATAGTGGCTCCCTGGGGTGCTCATGAGCTTCTTCGGGCCCCTTCTGAGATTCAGAGCTCCTTCCTGCCACCGCTGGACCTTGGGTGACTTGCCACGTGGGGTTGCAGAACTCGCTTTTGCCATTCAATTAAATTAAATTAAAGACTGGGTTGACTCCAGTGGTAATTACAGTGGGGTACGTGATCCTGTGAAATGCTCCTCCATTGTCCTCGCGCATAGCTTCTGTGGATTTTGGTGAGGGCTTGTGACAGAGCAGTTCTTAACTGACCACTATTCCACGTGCCTAACACACACTAAGGGTACGCAGTCCTCAGTAGAGCTAGGCTTGTCTTCAAAGGCTGAAAATCATAGTTGGGTAACGTATGCTCTGGAAGATAGGAGGATATTTTATTTTATTTTTGTCCTTTGGGTGGGGTGTGCTATATGCTGGAGACATCCAATCAAAGGCCTCGGCTGCTTATTTCATATCGAAACATGAAATGGTCTGTGTATGTCCCGCGGCCCCTGTGCCACCACTGTCTGCTTGCCTGTGCACACCCATTCAGCACTAGCAGATCACAACTCCGGTGAGAATTTGGGAGGGGCCATGGCTCAGTGGTAGAGCATCTGCTTAACATGCAGAAGGTCTCAGGATCAATCCCCACCATCTCCCGTTAAAGACCCCGCAGTAGGGCACGTGAAAGACCGCTGCCTGAGACTCTGGAGAGCAGCTGCCAGTCTGAGTAGACGATACCGACCTTGGTGGACCCAGGGGGGTCTGATTCAGTGTAAGGCAGCTTAGTGTGAATTTCCCTACCATACAGCCACTTCTGCCCTCCAATCCTTGCAAAGCTGTTTTTCCCCTCAGCCAAACCAAACTCTGTCCCCTTTCTACTTTGGGGGAAACTATCCCTTTGAAATGTTCGGTAATTTCTTCTGAGAATAAAGCAGGGATGGATTATTTGTTTCCCAGAATGTGGTGAATTATACAAAATGAGATGTATTAGGCTACAATGAACACTGGTACATTAATGTATATGATAATGATACACTGCATCTAGAAAATATGTTGTTGTTGTTTTTAAACAGCTCTTTAATACAAACTTGGCTAACTATTTTCATAGGTTTCTACAATCCAAGAACTTGTTACTGGTTATGAAGCTTCTCTGAAAACCTGTGACTTGTTTAGTCCATATGGTAAGTCTCAGTGTTCTTGTGTTATTGCCTCTGGAATGTGATTTTTAATTAACATTTTAACCAGTCATTGATTAGCTTGCTGTTTGCGAAAACATAAGCATTTTAATTGAAGTTCTTCCAAATGGGTGGCCGTGTCTTCTGAAATGCTGTGTGTGTGTTTTTGTTGCAGAAAATGGAGAGCGAGAGCCCCCAACGACTCTCCTTTGGGTTCGCTATTTCCTTGCACAGCACTTTGATAAACTGGGTCAGTTCTCGGTAGCCTTGGATTACATTAACTCCGCCATTGCGAGCACACCGACATTAATAGAGCTGTTTTATTTAAAAGCCAGAATTTACAAGGTAATACAGTGTCTTAAACGGGACGAGTTTAGAATAGTTGATCAGTTTGTGTTTTTCATAGGAACTGACTTGATTGTGTTGTTCACGGGGCCATTCAGCTCAGCGTTTAAATCCACATAGGACCAAAGAGGAAAATAATAAGAACCATTCCAGTGCCAAAGAGAGTTTATTATTTATCTATTGTATGTTTCTATTGGGTTAAAGGTTTTTAAAAAATCATTTGACTTGGAAGCACCAAAACTTTATGCAGTATCCCCGATCCTCCATGTTTCCCAGTTAAGGGGAAAATGCTGTTCAAAAAAATTGCAAAGATGATCTGACTCTAATGGTAACAAGAGAAAGAAGTTTTGCTTACAAAAATGGAAGCCCGTCTTACATGACATATTCATGTAGGTACATTGAACTTATTGCAAACAGATTAACTTTGAAAAGGTTGCCACAGCTCCAAGCCCAGGTAAGAGAGAGAAGAAGAAGAAGAAGAAGAGAGGTCCTATATAAGATGAAACACAGAAGGCAAAAGCAACAGCCCAAGAGGCTCAACCGAAAAGAGGGTGGGGCCGACTGCTAAGCGTCCCCCCGTGAGAGAATTCTCTTAACCCTTTCCCTCCAAGATTCTTTGCATGCTGAGTTACAATAGCCAACAGTTTCAACCAATAATTGAGTTCCCAAGTGCCTTACAACAATTAACAAAGGCAGCCTTAGTTTAAGTGAAGCCTTCGCCCCAGAGCGCTTGCTCTCCTCTTGCCCTGGCTATACTGATAGCTAGTTGGGGAAGAGAAGCTCTAGGCACATGGGGGAGATGGCACAATCAAGTAGTTTAAAAAACCCCTCTGAAGTCATAGAACTTCCTTCAGAGCATTAGGAGTGGGCTGGGAGGCCAGAGATTATATAAACATAACTGTTGCCGCCATCCCTAAGTATTAGTTTACAAGTAGCTAGCACTTTATGATATCGGAATGTTTTTATACGGTTTTATCAATGTTACATTGTTCTTATGTTTTATCCTTTGTAAGCTGTCCTGAGCCTGCTTTGGCGGGGTATGCATTGAATAAATAGATAAAAATGGCTTTGCTCATCCCCTACCTCTGATATTCACGGGTGTGTATTTAACTATTATCTCATGCCAGATTGCTGCTGAAAATTGCCGCATGCTTTTGTCCTTGGGAGAAATCTGCAGACACTCATTTTATCTATGGGGAAGGGAGCAAGGGAGTCCTCTTCTTTGGCATGAGAGGAAAGAATAAACTAGCCCCTCTTTTCCCTTCCACCTCCAAGCCAGGGTTCTGCCCTCACAGCTATATTCTGTCACAGTCATTAGGAAACAACCCTATGTATCATTCTACCCTTAATTTTAGTCAGAGTTCCAGACCTTCCCCCCGTATCATCACAACTCATGTCGTACCATTCAGCAATTCAAGTGTGACAAAGGCACAGCCATTTGTAGTCCAGTGTAGTCCCCGTACTTTCTCGAAGAAAATCAGCTACATCTGAAGTGGAGCTCTTTTCTTGGTGCCATGACTATTGTCCTTTGTGTTTCCTCCGTTCTGTTCTTAGTGATGAATGGTGACCCCCCTCGTGAGGTTTCCAAGGCAAGAGACGTGTACAGAGGCGGCTTGTGCAACCCTGGCCGGCCTCTGCGTAGCAACCCTGGCTCTCCTGGGTGGTCTCCCATCCAAGTACTGAGCAGGACTGACCCTGCTCAGCTTCCTCATCCTTGATACAACAGCATTTTTCCAATTCATGTTCCATGCAGTAGCACATAGGCGTGATCAAATGTTTTAGTTCCTCATATTTTGAAAAAGGACATATTCCTGTCAAATATTTTGCCTCTTTTTTTACAGTTCTGAGCTTACATGATGTATCAGCCAATCACCTCTGAATTTATTTAAAGCATTTCTGTTCCCCACAAACAAACAGCATCTCGGCAACCTAACTGAGGCTGCCCGGTGGATGGACGAAGCACAGTCCTTGGACACGGCGGACAGATTCGTCAACTCCAAGTGTGCACAGTACATGTTGCGGGCAAATATGGTGAAAGAGGCGGAGGAAATGTGCTCCAAGTTTACAAGGGTAGGAAATGGGGGTTTGAATGGAGGTTTGTAATGCATTTATTCTGAAAATTGCACCTGTCTGATTCAGAATTTGTTATAAAAATTCTGCTTGACTGTTGATGGCAGATTTGATGATCGCAGAAATGTGCTCCTTAAAGAAAACTTCCATCTTAATGTTGTATCAGTATGATATAGCCTAAGTATTAGTAGTGGCTAGTTCTTTGGAACATAATACCTTTTTTGTAATGTGTTCTGTTTTCCAGTTTTTAAAAACGCTAACCCTAACCTGTAACAATACAGGTAACAAGGAAAGAGGGGAGGTGGGAAAGGGGGGGGGGAAGGCAATGTGCATCCATAAGAATAAATGGAATAAACTTTTTAAAAAGTTAAGTTCTTCCTCAGTGGAAGAGGGCATCCTGGTGAGGGTCACTCCTCCCACTCACTCCATAGGCCCACACTGGCTGCCACAGGTTTGGCATCCCTTCGAGTAGGAGGGGCCCATGCCTGGTTCTGGTCCCAGCTACTCTGCAGCAGAGCCCAGAATCCTTTCTTGTCCTATTCTCTTTTTTAAGACAAGAGGAGAGCTGGCCTTCTTCTTCTAAGCTAGCACATTGTTTTGCCAGGTAGACAGCTGTTTGCTTAGCCACTTTGCATTAAAACAGGAATTCTCCAGTGGGTAAATGGCCGAGGCGTCATGAAATGTGAAAGGCTGTGTCTACAAAAGGTGAAGAGAGATGGTGGCCTTAGGAGATGAAGTCACCTCCAGTGGTACCACTAAAATCCTGATGGAACTTCCGGTAGTCAACACCAAGCCATTCCTCGTTTGGATGGTAGGACCTTCACCTCAGCCGCAAGACAAGACACCTTGAGTAGGGTGGAACAGCAGGCATTACCCTCAGCTGGGACACCAGGGAGGGGTAAGGAGGTCCTAACAGGCCCCCATACGCCTTCTGAGTAGTTGTTGTTGAGGTGTAAGAACAGGAGAAAGGTTGAGGAGGTCCCACCCCCTAGAGCAGGGACCCCCCAGTCCTTTTTCAGTCTGTGGGCACATTTAGAATTCTGACAGCGGTTGGTGGGCACAGTCACAAAATGGCTGCCACTGGAGATAGAGCCAACCACTCCCAAAAGCCAGGTGTTTCCCCAGCACCACTGTTGTCCCCCTTAGTGAAATGAGCAGGAAGGTGTCCCCTCCACCACCATAGTGGTTTTGTGAGGATTGGTTGGTTAACAGTGAAATCCTAGATGGGTAGCTGTGTTAGTCTGTCTGTAGCAGGAGGGGGGGAGGCGGAGGTTGGATTTATACCCAGCCCGTCACTACCCGAAGGAGTCTCAGAGCAGCTTATGATCCCTTTCCCTTCCCCTCCTCACAAAAGACACCCTGTGAGGTAGGTGGGGCTGAGAGAGGTCTTTCGAGAACTGCCCTTTCAAGGATAGCTCTGACAGAACAATGGCTTGCCCAAGGTCATCCAGCAGCTGCAGGTGAAGGAGTGGGGAATCAAAGCCGGTTCTCCCGGATTAGAGTCCGTGCACTTAACCACTACACCAAGCTGGCAGTAGAAAAGAGCAAGAGTCCAGTAGCACCTTAAAGACTAACAAAATTTCTGGCAGGGGAGGAGCTTATGTGAGTCACTCCTCAAGTCTTGAGAAATTCTGTGCAGAGTTACTCCCGTTTAAGTACAGTAAAGTCAGTGGGCTGAGACTGGAGGAACTCTGCATCGACTGCACTGCAAGACTGGTTGTGAATTTAAACTAATGAGGGGAGAATTAAGCGTAGAATGATTGTTTTTAATCCAGTTATTTAATGTCTGATTTAAGGTAATTTTATTCCTACTATTTTATAGACTCACAGTTTTCAGCTATTTTTGCAGGGTTTTTTAAAATGGATTATTCATGCTTCTAATTGTGCTGCTGCTGTTTTCTTTTATGACTATGCCTGCTGTTTGAATATTGATTGGTTTGCTGCCGTTAGAAATTTGGCGGCTGTCTGTCTGCGTGTGTGCGTGTGTGTGTGCGTGTGTGTGTGTTCACAGTTATTACTCTCAAGGCTCAGGTGGAAGAGCCTGGGGGGGAGTGAATGTGGATGGCTTTAATTGGTAGGATTTCTTAAATCCACAATCTCCGCCAGAGTCAGGCAGAAGGAGATCGGAGCCTAGACATGCACTCCTTTATCTCCCTCCTGATCTTCCCAACTAGGGCTGCCAAGTACTTACCGCGAATCGTCGGGGGACACATAGTTCTTGGCAGAACATTCCCACGCGTAAAACACCTGTGCCTTTATTCCCACGCGTAAAACACCTGTGCCTTTATCACCTGTGCCCCACTATGCTATCGCTCAGATGTGATGCCAGCATGCTGGGCATGTAGCTGGGCGACACTCTTGCCAGAGCGTCGCCCGGCTACGTGCCCAGCGTGCTGGCGTCACATCTGGGCAACAGCATAGTGGGGCGCAGGTGTGTTACACGCACGAATGTTCCGGCCAGAAACCACGTGTCCCCCGCCGATTTGCAGTAAGTACTTGGCAACCCTATTCCCAACCAAAGAAACCTTTTAATATCAAGCAGGCAGTTCAGAGTTAAAGTTTCCAAGTTGGCTCCTGAGATAAAGGAGTTCCACCTATTTACTTTTTCTAGCACTGTGTCTTTTATTCAACACTTCTTAAGAGACTTGGCTGTTGAAATGCCCTGTGAGTCTGACTGCTGGTCCTTAGCAGAGAAATGCACCTTGTGGTTAGTAGGCATTTGATGCATGTTGCTAAACGAGCAAAATGGCCGCATCACCTCAGAAGGCCTTTCTCTGCCCCTCAGTGGAAAGCTTCCGCATTAACAGCCATTGTCTTAGCAAAAAAATAAAAAAATTACTCCTCCTTGAACAAAACCTTTTGGAAACGGGGAAAGGAAATGCACTTAATGTTTAAAATTCCACTATGGAATTCCAGCCGCTTCTCATTTTCTGTAGGTGGAAGATTGCAGGTGGTCACATTAATCCATTAGAACAGAAACCACAAGCGGCAGCAGTGCCCTGCCTTTTAATGTCACAAAACAGTGAGCAGTTTTTCAGGTCCCTCAGTATCAGGCTGCAGGGTCAGTCCAGAAAGCAACGCTGGTGTGTGGTGTAGTGCTCAGAGCGCAGGACCTCAGACAGCGGGATTCAGATCTTTGCTCAGCCATGGAACCTCACCGGGTAAACTTGGGCCTCCCACAATCTCTAGGCCTGGCCTGCCTCACAGAGTTGTTGCTAGGGAGATAAGGTGGGGCAGGGGAGAAGGATTCGATAAGTTTGGGAGAGAAAGTGGGATATACATTTTAAAAAATAAGTATAATGGGGGGGAGAGTAAATGCTTCAAGGCATACTGGAAACGGACTAAGTTTGTCAGTTATGGTCTCAAAAGGGAGTACCAGAGATGCTGCAGGAGTACCTGGTTCAGTCCTGTGCAGGATTAGTCTGGCCTAAGCCCATTGCCTTCAGTGGGCTTAAACTGGAGTAACTCTGCACAGGTTTGTGCTGATCATTAGATTAGATGCTAGGTGGCATAAAAGATTTCAATGTAGCATGAAGATTGTTGGGGTACAGAAATTCCTTACTTTACCAGATTGCAAGGTTAATTTGGGGGGGGGGCGGGCGTGGTGGCTCAGAGATTAAGATGTTGAGGTTAAGATGCATCTGGTCTGCAGATCGGCAGTTCGAGACCCAAGTGCCACGTGACGGAGTGAGCTCCCAGCTCCTGCCAACCTAGCAGTTTGAAAGCAAGAAATTGCAAGTAGATAAATAGGAACTGCTTCGGTGGGAAGGTAACAGCATTCTGTGTGCCTTTGCATTTAGTCATGCCGGCCACATGACCACGGAAATGTCTTTGGACATCGCTGGCTCTTCGGCTTGGAAACAGAGATGAGCACCGCCCCCTAGAGTTGTATTCGACTGGCTTTCGAGCAAGGGAAACCTTTACCTTTATGGTTACTTTTAGGCTACCTAATTGATAGAGCTCCTTGGGCAAAGGATTATGGCTTGGGATTCGTAGGTCATTTCCTACAGTTGTATAAAAATATTGTTCCTTGGATGCAGTATTTTCCAAACAGACAAAGATTATAGGTCCATTAGGTGTAGGTTTATTAGGAAAAAGATTCCAAAACCAGCAGTAGCAGAACACCTTCTGTTAGGTCCAGCCACAACGTCACAAACAGTGAACAAGTTTTTAGGTGCCCTTCCAGGCTGTGTGCTCAGAACCAAAAAAAGCCACTGAACGTTGCAAGGGACAGTCCTCGTTTTGGGTTTAAAGCCCCAGTCTGCAGTTTGTAAAAATCTTTAAATACACCCTGTAGTGTATTTGTTACATCGAAACAGAAAATATTGTTGTTGTTGTTGTTGTTATTATTGTTGTTGTTGTTATTATTATTATTATTTTCAATCAGGAAGGGACATCTGCGATGGAAAACCTCAATGAAATGCAGGGGATGTGGTTCCAGACAGAATGTGCTTTAGCTTTTCAGAGACTGGGAAAATATGGAGAGGCCTTGAAAAAGTGCCACGAAGTGGAAAGGGTAAGTTAAGCAGGTGATCAGATTGCTTTGTCCTGGAGAATGTTTCTCCTTCACCTTCTAAACAAGCCAAAAAGAACCAATAATTCCCAAACAAGCCCTTGCCCTTTCACCTATATAATATTGCATTGGTGAGTGATTTTCATAAAAATTCAAAATTATAGGCCACAAACAAGCACGTTCTTAGTCCCAAATGAGGGATCAGTTTTCCAGGAGGTCAATTTTGAGAAAGGGATCGAGAATTTTCCTCTTGAGTGGTTTGTCCGCAAGTCCTGTTGTTACAGCAGTATTCCCTCCATGTGTCTGCTTTGCTTTTGGATTGACAACTGGATTTGACCCTGAGGTTGACCCATTGTTGAAGAGGATGCCCTTTAAAATGATGAGATAAATGGATTTTGCTATTTTTTAACCTGGATGTTGTTTTGCTTAAGAAAGGGGTGGGAGAGGTGAACACACAAACATCATATTATGGTGGAATGCTACAAAGAAGGAATCACCTTCAATTAGAAAAGAGGCTGTAATGCAAAGCAAAAAGTCTTTGTGCCCCTAGATCAACCCCTGTTGATCATTAATAGGATTTTAGAGCGCTATTATTACAGCAAATAACTTAAAAACGTCAGGGGAGCCCAGCTGGATCGGACCAGGGAGGGTCCCTCTAGTCCAGCCTCCCGTCTCACAAAGGGGCCAGCCAGTTCCTCTGGAGGGCCAGCAACAGGGCAGAGAGGCCGAGGCCTTCCCCTGAGAAGGATACCAGAAGAGCCCTGCTGGGTCAGACCAGTGAGGGTCCCTCTAGTCCAGCCTCCTGTCTCACACAGCCGCCAGCCAGTTCCTCTGCAGGTCCAACAACAGGGCAGAGAGGCCGAGGCCTTCCCCTGAGAAGGATACCAGAAGAGCCCTGCTGGGTCAGACCAGTGAGGGTCCCTCTAGTCCAGCCTCCTGTCTCACACAGCCGCCAGCCAGTTCCTCTGCAGGTCCAACAACAGGGCAGAGAGGCCGAGGCCTTCCCCTGAGAAGGATACCAGAAGAGCCCTGCTGGGTCAGACCAGTGAGGGTCCCTCTAGTCCAGCCTCCTGTCTCACACAGCCGCCAGCCAGTTCCTCTGCAGGTCCAACAACAGGGCAGAGAGGCTGAGGCCTTCCCTGATGCTGCCTCCTGGTACTGGTATGTGGAGATTCTGTTCAGTCACCATGGCTAGTAGCCACCGATAGACCTATCCTCCATGAATCTATCTAATCCCCTTTTAAAGCCATCTATGCCTGTGGCCATCACTACATCCTCTGGCAGTGAATTCTGCATATTAATCACTTTTTGAGTACAGAAATATTTCCTTTTGTCCATCCTGAATCTTCTGCCCATCGACTTCATTGGAGGCCGGCAAGTTCTAGCGTTTTGTGAGAGGGAGAAACAGTTCTTTCAGTAGACTGTCTCTACCCCGTGCATAATTTTATAAACCTCTATCATGTCCCCTCCCTTACTCATCTCTTTTCTAAACTGAAAAAGTCCCGGACTCTTCAGCACTTCCTCATAAGGACAGTGCTCCAACCCCAAGTCATTGGTTGCATTCTGTACTTTTTCCAGCTCTGTGACATCTTTTTTGTGATAAAGTGACCAGAACGGCACACTATATTCCAAATAAGGTCACATGATAGCTCTCCACAGGGGCATTATAATATTGGCTGTGTTATTTTCTGTTTCCTAATAATCCCCAGCATAGGGTTTGCCTTTTTTCACTGCTGTCTTTTTCCCTCTCAGTCTTAGCAAACTCAGACTTCATTAGCATGTACTTAAATTTGGGAATTTTTGTTCCAGTATGATTCACCTGACACTGACCTATACTGAAGTTCATTTGCCACATTGTTGCCCATTCACCCAATTTGTGGAGATCCAGCCTTGATTTTCACCATCTTGAATAATTTTGTCATCTGCAAATTAGGCTACTATTCTACTCTCCCCCAGTTCCAAATCTGTATTAACAAATTTAATACCGCTGGGCCCAATACCTGTCCTTATGGGACCTCACTGCTTCCTTCCTTCTTTTGAGAGAACTGTCCATATATTTATTTACAAACAGTATTCAGACCCACCAGAAAAATACAACAGATGCTACGATTGGCAAAAGACAGAAGAGACCCCGTCACATCTGCAGGAGTATACCACATACCCTGCAGTTGGTTTACATCGAGACCACACAACGTAGCATCCAGACAAGAATAAAAGAACATGAAAGACACTGCAGATTTGGTGAACCTGAAAAATCAACAGTGGCTGAACATAGCCTAACTCAAACAGGACACAGTATCTTGTTCCAAGACACTGAAATACATCCAGTTACCATGTCAGATTACACAGGGAAGCCATTGAAATTCATAAACACAATTTCAACAGGAAAGAAGAGAGTTTAAAAATAAATAGGGCATGGTCTCCTGTCCTGAAAAACACAAAATGCTCTACATCTTACAACACTACAGATAAGATTAGAATTTCAACAGCCAATCCGTAGATATAAATTACCTGCCTACCATTTTTCTTCTCACCTTGACTCTATCTTTCTGTGTTATGCCTCTGAGGATGCCAGCCACAGCTGCTGGTGAAACGTCAGGTCCTACAATGCCAAGACTACGGCCAGACAGCCTGGAAAATCTACAGCTATTTATTTATTATCTACAGCTATTTATTTATTTGTTTGTTTGTTTGTTTGATTGATTTATCCCCCCCCCTCCCCGCCTATGCTTCCTTTTTTTTAGCCACGACTGATAAGCTTACTCAGGTGTCTTTGGTGAGGTACTTTGTCAAAGTCATTTGGAAGTCCAAGTTATATAATGTCACCAAAGTCTCCTGGGCAAAGTTGCCGCGGGAGAGGCACGGATGGTGGGCGGATTATCCGGGCGTGATCACACCCCAACATCTGGGAAGTGGAGCGCACTCGTGGCTTACCGCCGAAAATGCGTGTTAAAAAAGTAGTACCTCCAAAGTACTAGTAAATGTTTGCCACGGGCTGCCTCCAGACTCCCGTGGTGTGATCGCGCCGGCGCGTGGCATTCCCCTCCGGTCCCTCGTTTACCCACCGGCGGCAAGGGAAGGACCCGTGGTGTGCCGCCGGTGCGTCTGATCACGTAATCGTGGATCAAACTGCGCCAGGGTAATTAGCCACGCCTCTCCCCCCCCCCCGGCGATATCCAGTCTGTGTGACCGGGGCCTAAGTAAATTTAGCTGTCATGGGGAAAGAGGACAGGATCTCTCATGGATTAGTTTGATGTAGTGGTTAAGTGCATGGACTTTAAGCAGGGAGAACCATGTTTGATTCCCCACTCCTCCACATGCAGCTGCTGGTGTGACCTTGGGTCAGCCACAGTTCTTGCAGAGCTGTTCTCTCTGGCAGTTCTCTGAGAGCTCTCTCAGCCCCACCTACCTCACAGGGTGTTTGTTGTGGGGAGAGGAAGGGATTGTAAGCCACTCTGAGACTCCGAGTGAAGGTTGGAGTATAAATCCAACCTCCTCCTTCTCCTCTCCATCTTCTTATTTATTTAGTTGCCGAATAATTAAATCAATTTGTTTAGATTAACATAAATGTTTACTTAATCCAGCTCTTTAAATAATCATCTAATTAGCTCAAAATTAAGTACAATATTTAAATCTCTCAAATCATTGAAATTAATTACTCCAATTAAGTACTCCAATTAATTACAACCATCAATGATTCATTAAGCAATACCGCAACTACTCTTAGAGAGTAGAAGTCAATAGTTCTTACAAAGGAGAGAAGTCTTCACTGGGTTCCCACAATGGGACACTAATAACTGGTTCTCAAATGATCTGAAACCTGGGGTGGAAAGTAAAGTGCTCACATTTTCAGATGACATCAAATTATTCAGGAAAGTGAACAAACTTCAAAGGGATCTCACTGAACAGAGTACTTGAGCGAAAATGTGGCAAATGAGGTTCAGCGTAACTAAGAGAACAGTGATACACACTGGGATCAAAACACTCCTAATTTTAGATATGCTCTGATATTGTCTACATTGTTGATGAAGGACCAAGAGATCACGGTGGATAACTGTGATGACACCCCATCTCCAGATGGAGAAACTAAGGACTTCAGTTTCACACTCAACGAATTTTTTCATTTTTATTTTTGTAATTGAGGTAAGATAGGGATTGAAAATAAGATGGCCAGTATTGCAATGCCCTTAAATAGTAGTTAGCAATAAAACAGTAAATCCTTGGTGAGGAATTAATTGGAATTCGTTTTGTAGGAGATCCATTCATTGTGGTGCTACAGAATAGGTATAGGTTTTAGAGGAAAGGCTAAGGCTTGCTAGGCACTGAGGAATATTTTGGGGCAAGCTTTCCTTACAGAACAGAGATGTTCTCCAGTTGAACTGAAATAGATCTAGTCTGCCACCTCTTAAAATTTAGAAGTTGCAAAAAGCTGTTGTGGCAAGAAAAATAAGCAAAATCCAAATCCTTAAACTTGGTCTGCTGGATCCTTTTGTCCTGCGTGGTTGTACCAATTAAAATATACCAATTAAAGATGTCACGTTGTGTCTGCTGGTCAGTTCATTTGTCTAATTTAATATACTTTCTGGCTATCGTATGTTATTTAAAACATTTTACGCTGCTTTCTGAATATGTAGGGTAAGGATAAGAAGTAACTTGCATTATGAAAATCCTTTTTGTTTTCGAAGCACTTTTTTGAGATAACAGATGATCAATTTGACTTCCACACGTACTGCATGAGAAAGATGACGCTGCGTGCCTACGTCGATCTCCTGAGGCTGGAAGACGTTCTCAGGAAACACGCCTTCTACTTCAAGGCTGCTTGGGCAGCCATTGAAATCTACTTGAAGCTTCATGACAGTCCGCTAGCTAACGAAAGCAAAGAGCAAGAAGTGAATTCAGGTACTTAAATTCAGTAAGGGAAAACTAATTTGTGCATAAAATGCAATTTCAAAAGTGTTGTACAAGTTTATTTCCTTTAGGATGTTAAAGGTTCTATTTTTCCCTCTGAGATTTATTTTTTTGTTTAGTCCTGCAAAAGTATAATTAAATGTTCTGGAGTGCAAAATGTATTTGGTAGTTCAGTTTTACAAAAATCATCGGCTTTGCAGAATGGTATCATACCCTCGCAATGGGCAAGATAGAGTTAAAAGTCTGGCCCAAAATTTAGATTTTTTAAAAAAGAATCTTAGCTCTTATTTCGACTGCAGACAAAAACCCAAAATGTATGTAAACTGAGTGCTAAAAATCTTCTAAATGAAAGAGATGTTGAGCACAAGGGACAACGATGGGGTAATTGTAATCTCCAGACTTCCAAAGGGGGTTTGGGGATCAAATGTTTCTTTAGACATTACTGTTTGCTGCATAGCAAACTAAATGCCAGGGAGGAAGAGTTTTAGTTAGACTTCCTCTTCACCAGTACAGGGGCCTTTTTAAAAGGAGGCTAGTCCAGTCATGTCAGCTCCCACCTGCCACTGGAAGTAGTATAACTCGAGCAAAAGTTTGCCACTTTGGCTAGAACTAAGCCTCTGACTTCACCATTTGCTGTGAAGTAGGAGACGAGCTACAGGTAGAACTCAGGAATTGTGTGATACAAGTTGGGGACCCGCAAGGACCTGTAGGGGACATGTCATTTTCTCCTCCCCCCTTTCCTTTTTCCCTTTCCTGAAAGTCTTCATAGCCACTCCCCATATCCTTTTTCCTTCTCTCCTTCCTGCCCACTAACCAACATACCTTCTATCTGTCCCCATCTTCAACTATATTTATTCTTTATTTACTTCATTTATACCCCACAATGTCTATCTGTCCCCACTTCATTTATTCTCCACAATGGGGACCCAAAGCAGCTTTTAGCATTCTCCTCTTCATTTTATCCTCACAACAATGTTGTGAGGTAGCTTAGGCTGGGAGTGTGTGACTGGCCCAAGGCCCAAGGTCACCCAGTGAGCTTCATCGCAGAGTGGGGATTCAGACCTGGGACTCCCACATCCCAGTTTGAAACTCTAATCCCTACAACACACTGGCTTTCATCCAGTGGCTGCTGCTACGCTTGAGAGAGTCAGGCAATCTGAGTCTTCCTGCAAAGGCCAATACTGCTCTGGAGAAAGCCCTGGCACCCCTCCCTGCCTTTCACGGTCAGAAACCAAGGCTTGCAATACAGTTGTGGTTGCCTAGCAACAGCCACTGAGGGCATATGTTTCTTAAAGCTGCGGGTTCTGTTTTTATTATGTTGGTGGGTTTGAACTCAATATATGTTTGTGTATGTGTTTGTGTTTAGATTTCCGGTTTTTATGCAAACCTAGGGCTTTTCTCAGGTTTAAAGAAAGGTCTGTCTTCTGTGTCCATGGCCCCAGTCTACAGATTTAAGTGTCCACAGATGGGGCCATGTTGATTTTTAGATTATTAGATATTGATGATGATAGCAGAATAGTCAGGTATGGTAGAATTTCTCAGGGACGGCTCACAGTATTACACATCACCATTCAGAGCACTGTTAAGACAATGAGGATTCTTAGCATAGTATAGGTTGGAAAGGTAGCATTACTTCAAACATGTGAAACTTTGTCATGTTCAGTTTGGATTCCTCATCTACCAGGCTCCATAGGAATTAGCGAGCGGTGATGAACAGTATGTTCTCTCCACTGAGGATTATTGAAACTTGCTCTACATGGGCCTACCCTTAAGGCTGACCTGGAAACTCCAAATGGTACAGAACTCAGCAGCACAGGTCCTCACAGGGACACTGCGCACAGCACACATCCATCCTGTGCTGCGTGAGCTGCACTGGCTTCTGGTGGAGTACTAGCTTAGGTTAGTACTTAGGTTAGATATTGACCTTCAAGGCCCTTTAATGGTCAGGGACCTACATACCTTCAGGATCGCCTCTCCTGGTATACCCCCAAAAGATTGCTGCCCTCTATTGATGAAAACCTATTGGTGGTCCCCAGCCCGAGAGATATCCAGCTGTCCAACCTGGTAGAATTCTCTGCCAAACAATGTCCATGCCCTCGGGACCTGCTACAGTTCTGGAGGGCCTGCAAGTCACAGATGTTCTGCCAGGCGTTTGGTTGAGGACAGCGGCGGTTCCATTCTGGCACTCCCTCCGCCTCCCCTCCAGTGAGATGGGGCGTTATTGGTGCTTTGTGTCATCTCTAGCTGTATTTTTGTTTGCTATTGGTTTCAACCTGATTTTAATCAATGTTTTATTACTGTGTTGTGCACCGCTCTGAGCCCAGTTTACTGGGGGAGAGTGGCTGCAAAGTTTAATAAAATAAATAAATAAAATTTATGACTACATTCTGCTTTTTATTTTATTTTTTTGCTCTCGCTATTGGTTTCAACCTGATTTTAATCAATGTTTTATTACTGTGTTGTGCACCGCTCTGAGCCCAGTTTACTGGGGGAGAGTGGCTGCAAAGTTGAATAAAATAAATAAATAAAATTTATGACTACATTCTGCTTTTTATTTTATTTTTTTGCTCTTTTTTTTGCCCCCCGGAGGGGATTTTTTATTGCATTTTTAATAGACTACAAACTACAATGAAAAATTGGGAAAGGGTAACTACATCTAGGGAAAAAGGAAAGAAAACCACTACTAACTAAAACCCCAAGTATAGGAGATCATAAAAACAGCTTATATAAATGTTAATCTTGAATTGCTAGTATTACTTTGAACATAGTCGGTTATGCTAAATTATTTATCTTTTTATCCATTGATCTAACTGTTTAAGAGAACCCACACAGCATCCCATAATAAAACTAAAATTTTAAGGCACAATTCAGAGTCCTTCAGCCTTCATTTTGTCTTGTCTTTTCTAATCCTCAATTTATATGTACGTTTGGGGGCAGCTGCCCCTTTATTGGAAAGAGAGTCCTCGTCAGAAGACACAGAGTCCAATTTGCCACTAGATTTGCTTTGATCTTCTTCCTTCTCAACCTTGGCTGTCTCTCCCAGCTGCACTCTCAGGAACTCATGTGCTTTGGAAACAGAGTCAATATTTTCTTTTTTATTGTGTAGTTTGAAAATGACACTTTCTGGAATTAACCATCTGTAGACAATGCTGTTTGTTTGTAGAAAAAGGATTAAGTCTTTATATTTCTTTCTCTTTTGCAATCCCTCACATGCCTCTTCGAGTATCTGACCACTATTTCCCCAGGTAGATTATTCTTCTTAATGAACATGGAATAGGACCTGTAGACCACATCCATTTCGCTCGCAAGATACTCCGCTTTCAGATCTATAACTGGGGCTAACGCTTCACTCAGGAGTTGCTTTAGATTCTCGTCTTTTAATTCTGGGACCCCTTGAGATTGTAGGACCAAATTTGCTTTTTCAATTTGCAGCTGTAAAAGTTGTGATTCTTCCGAAGCTTGTTTCTTTTCCAGCTTTTGCACCTTTTTCTTGACTTTTTTAGTGTTGGCGTCCATTTCCTTCACCTTCTCAGTCGTTTGCTCTGTTATTTTTAAAGTCTCAGTCAGTTGGAGCTGCTGAGTTGCAAGATTCTGGTTTAGAGTTGTCAGCTGTTGTTTGATGTTAGTCATCTGGTCCAGCAGAGGGCGCAAGGAATCTGCCAACATTTTGGAGAACTCAGTGACCTCTTCCGGTCGAGGGCTCATGTTCCCCGCTGGTTTCACTTTTGCTGGTTTGTCTTTCTCTGTCCTCTTCCCCGCCATCTTTATGGATTGTTTACTTTTATGAAAGCTTGCTAAAGTCTCTGAAATACGCCCATATGCTTATCCGCGCTCTGGTAAGTCTCTCAAAACAAATTTCAACGCTTTTTCTTCCACTCCCCCCTAGTAACCCCCCTTGTTAGCTTGCTTTTTTGTTTATGCATGTGGGAGGGAGGGGCCCCTCCCCCACTCGCTTTTCTTGCCATTCCCAGGGGGTAGCTTTCTTTTTAAATTCTCGTATTCGCTTTAACCCGACTCACTGTTCATTGTTGGTCATACGACCTCGCTCGGCACACGTTCAAAATGCTCAATCTCCGACACTTGTCCTGGTCAGCGGCTCTAGTTCCATATGGACACTCAGCGGCAGGACCGTCAGGGCAGAGGAACGCTTCAATTCCCCAGCATCGCACTGGCGAAAAGGTCGCCCCTCAAAAGCCCCATGGTTAGGAGCCTTTTGCCAAGACTCCGGGGGGGTAGCGACCCGTCGCCCCCCCTCCTATCCGCTGGTGCGCAGATCACATCCCCGGGAGGTCCAGGAGATGCGTCCGCCAGCGTGTCGCCATAAACTGGATGTCCGGTTTTTTTTTTTAACTTTTGCATTTTGTGTGCATGTGTGTGTGCGTGCCCATGCCTGAAGCCATGGTGACCTCTGGCAACTCCTGCTGGGGCACGGAGGACATTCAGAGAAGTGACTTGATAACCTGCCTCTGGCCTCCCGGCCTTGGTGTTCTCTGGAGGTCTCCCATCCAAAGACTTGCCAGGGACAGCCTTGCTTAGCTTCCAAGATCTGATGAGATCGGGCTTGCCTGGGCTATCCAGGTCAGGGCTGCTTTTTATTTTTTAACCAACTACCAATGCCTGAGAAGACCAGTCTTCTTAGGTCAAGATTACTAGTTTTGTAGGAGTCTTTATTACATAGTTAGCACTTTCCTTCTATAGGATATCTAATGAAAATTGTGCTCCAACTTTATCACCAGTTAAATATGAAACCTAAAAATGTATGTGTTTTTAATACATCCAGACTTTGTATTCTTCATATTAAAATATAGTCCATTATCTGTAGAAAACCTTTCTGCCAAGGAACTGAAGAAGTTGCTTAGCAAACAAAGACGTGCTCAGAAGAAAGCGAAGCTTGAAGAGGAGAGAAAGCACGCGGAAAGAGAGAGGCAGCAAAAGAATCAGAAAAAGAAGCGAGATGAGGAAGAGGAGGAAACGAGCGGGCCCAAGGAAGAACTCGTCCCTGAAAAACTGGAAAGGGTATTCTTCAGCTCTCCTTCTGCACATTTAGACTGCGTTATCGTAAAATATTCAGACTCCGCTTTGATTCCGTACCCTAGACACCCTTTTGCAATGAAGGTTATATAGAATTGAGAAAAATGTTTGCAGGAATACTTAGGATAAATTTACATGCACAAGCTTTCCCTCCACTGTACACATAACCACATGAAACATGCCACAGAAGAGGGTGCAGAGGTATATGAGTGGAACTGTCTGATCAGGTACTGTATTCTGTCCCCGGGTGGTGAGGAAACACAAGCTCAACTTTTATTCCTATCTGAGTACTCCGTTTTCTTCTGAAATAACTATAGCAACACTGTGGGAAAAGTATTTCATAGATTGTATTCCAGGATATATTTCTACCCCAAACCAGATTCCAGTAGAAAATGCCCCCCCCCCCAGCCTGTTTGTGTTGTCGGAAGTTGCTGCATACACAAACACTTGGAACCTGACAACACGATTAGACATTATGCAGGATGTTTCTTTTGAGTAGATTTGCCCTTCCTGTTTTGCATATTCACTCAAGTTCTGCACCTTTGTATAGCTATATCTTTTTGTTTTCAGTTTAAAATAACAAAAACCATGTTTTGAACCTAAGATATTACTTGATCAGTATAAACTGTCAGAAATTTTAATGAAAAACATCTACCATTAGTGATCGCTAAAATGTTTGCCTCTGGGATATTTTTCTACCCCAGTACAATAACTCTCTCGTGAGTTCTCTCCAGTGCGGGCACACTGGTTGTGCTCCCATCAGTGCTGCCGTGGGGCCTTGGAAGCCTTTTTCAAATATAGTGTGACCATTTTCCATGTCGCTACTGAAGATCTTTTTCAGCTCATCCTCGACACTCAGCCATGCATGGTTGCTGGCACCTCCCAATGCAATGCCTCTAGAGTCTGGGATACTGAGTAGGGGTCCCTTTTCATTTGTCCCGCCACTGCCCTGTTCCAGTGGGCTGCAGAGACCCATCAGAACCGTGGTGCTTGAGCATGAGGAGGCACACCTCCCCATCCCGTTTTTCCTGCCCACATCCAACAGGCCGTAGAGGCTTCTTGGGGCCATGCCGCTGGGGGGAAATGCACTTCCCCTGTGCCCCCACTGCCTGTCTCGAAGCAACTACCCTGCCCATTTCTGAGGATGCTTGCTTTCCCTGCCTGGACACCACCTTGGCTATTTCTAAAGTTAGACAATAAGCAGAGAGACTGACGCCGGCAAAATATTTGAAAAAGTGGGGGGGGGGGTGTTAGCCCTTGATCTTGATGAAGAGCCCTTGAGCTTGATTCCTTCTCCGGCCAAGTCACAGGCGGATTCTCAGTGCAAGATGCATCCCTTGTTCTGAGGCTTTTCCCTAGCAAAATTTATATTCAAATAGATCTTATCTGTTGAATGTGACCGAGTCATCTTTCTATGAATAGGAGGAGGCACTGAATTTCTCTGGAGCAGTGGTCCCCCCCACCTGGGGGGGCCCCCGGGGACCACAAAGTTATGGCGGGGGGGGTTTCCTCAAAACTATATGCCCGCTAAGCACGTTTGATCTTTTTTGTCGTAATTTATTTTCTTGATCAGTGGGTACTAACAGTACAACTACTGTCCTGGGGGTGGGGGGAACGGTCCACAAAAGGTTTTGATTTTAAAAGGTAAAGGTCCCCTTGCTCGAAAGCCAGTCGAGTCTGACTCTAGGGTTGTGGTGCTCATCTCTGTTTCAAAGCCGAAGAGCCAGCGCTGTCCGAAGATGTTTCCGTGGTCATGTGGCCGCATGACTAAACACCGAGGCGCACGGAACACTGTTACCTTCCCACTGAAGTGGTACCTATTTATCTACTTGCAATTTCTTGCTTTCGAACTGCTAGGTTGGCAGGAGCTGGAACTAGAGACGGGAGCTCACTCCGTCATGCGGCACACTCGGGTCTCGAACTGCTGAACTACTGACCTTCCACAGCTTGCAGTTCAGCGTCTTAACCACTTGAGCCACCACAGCTCCTTTGATCTTAAAAGGGGTCTTCATACTCAAAAAGGTTGGGAACCACTGCTCTTAAAAATGCATCCCCAGATCAGTATATTCTGGAAAATACTTAAGGGGCATGGGTTTTTTACCCAATAAGATCTTCTTCGTGGTCTCTGTGCATCACACCTCTGGGATATAGTGCGCCTGATCAGTTCCTCTTCAAAGAAGAGAAGAAGAAGAGATTGGATTTATACCCCGCCCTTCACTTGGAGTCTCAGAGCGGCTTACAAACTCCTCTCCCTTCCCCTCCCCACAACAGACACCCTGTGAGGTGGGTGGGGCTGAGAGAACTCTGACACAAACTGCTCTTTTTCAAGGACAGCTGTGCCAGAGCTTGTGACTGACCCAAGGTCACATCAGCAGGTGCAAGTGGAGGAGGAGTGGGGAATCAAACCCGGTTCTCCCAGATTAGAGTCCGCGCACTTAACCCACCAAAGGGATTTTCGCGCCCACTCCCCAGTTGCACGCCAGCCCCACTGCACATGAGCAAGGGAGGGGCATGACAATCCTGCCAGTTCTCTTCTGACCGCTGCGCTGGCAAGATCTTCTCCACTTTGGCTGGTAAAAAATTTGGGCTTTTAGGCCTGTTCCTCTTCTTTGAAGTTTCTTCGTTTTTCTTGTTTATTTTTGTTAAGTGAAATTGACTTTGTTTCTATGGATTTATTTCCTTTTGGACTCTGTCATGTGTTCCCCCCCTCTCCTGACCTATGGCCAAGAGGTGGGGTTTCTTTAAACGGTGCCTTAAGTGTGGCAGCAAGATCGCTCCCCCCAGATGGACACTCGCTTTGTCTTTTGTGCCTCGGGGAATCGCTCATTGCACAAAGTTTTCGAAGCAGACAAGGAAGAAGAGAGCTGCTAGACTTCGCATTGTGCTTTTGGAGTCAGCGCTTTCATTGACAGGACACTTCAGGGCATGCGTCAGTGTCGACTGGCGCCTCGGCATCGATGGCTGCTCTGTCCCCGATACCGACTCACATAGATGTCGATGGCCCAATGCTGAAACGCTCGACCCAGACATCTCAGTCCTTAACCAGTACTCCCTCCAAAAATGCAGGGAAGGCAAGGACGGTCGGCCAGTCAAGCTTAAAAAGCATAAGAAAACTACCCCTGTGCAATCTCCACTGACCCCTCAGAGGGCCACGGAATCGAATCTTTTGGGGGCTGCTTCACTTGACTCTCAGTGCCGACAGCAGCCACAAGGTGTATCTCGGTCGTCTTCGCTGCATCCTATCCAGCTCACAGACTCTGAGCATGATATGGACTTAACACAGATCTCCCGGTTTTCCAGTGTCGAAAGTCTGCACTCAGACCGCGGAATTGATGCGTCTGTCCATCCTTCACAGCTCCGACCTGATGATCGAGACCGACCATCGGCACCGATCCACCCGCCACCACCGCCCTCCTGGGACCAACAGCAGTGGCAATACATGTATGGGGCCTACCTATTTACAGGCAGTATGCCGTAGTTTCCACTCCAACCGATGGAATGGGACTGTCAGTCTGCCTCCTCACGTCTCTCCCGGCATCGAGATCCTGCATCGACACCGGCGTTTGTGAGGCTCCAACCGTCGAGGCCAACAGGCAAACCCTCCAAGCTGTCGCACCCGACAATTCCAAAGTTTAAAAATCCACCGGATCCGACTCCATTGATACAGATGCCACCTATGTCTTTTTCCGAACCGTCTGAGCACTCCGCCTCCTCAGACGCTTCCTCCCAATCAGGGGACAAAATCCCTGATCCTCTGGTGGAACCCTCGCCACCTCAACAAGTGGGCGATGATCTTCCGATTTCTCTGTCAGAGGATCTCAAATCTCATGGGGACTTTATCAAACGGATGGCAAACAGGTTCACCCTGTCTAAG